ACTCAGAGGGTGACAGTTCTCTGGGCTGCACTCAATCAGTGATTTAAACCATGCATTTCTGTGACAACATGCAAGAAGTGTTCACACATGTGAAAGAAGGTATTTGGGTTTATTTAAATTAATTTTTTTAAACGTAAAAACCTGTGATAGACCCTCTCAAAATGCTGGAGTCAACCAGCTTTCCTTACAAACGACGTAATTATTTTTTTCGAAGTTACAGGGTCAGATTTCTATGTTTAATTATAAAAAGGTGATGGATGCCACTAATGTTTCCCATGTTTGAGAAAAAAGATAGATTCCAGAAGCCAACTTTTTTTTTACAGGTGGTAAAATAGATGGTAGATTAAAAAAAGAAGTTTTGCAATTTTACACTTGAAACATATTTCAGAGTAGTCAATCTAGGCAGACTGATATATATGTAAAAGTGCGGCCTCTTGTATAGCTCCAGCTGGTGTAAACACACTATGTATTAATACAGTAGGACATTTAGCATCAGAATGAATCTGGAATTTGGGAGCTTGGCTCCCGATGGGTGAATGAATGAGGCAAATTCCTTTTTCAAAATGTTTCTTTTTTCAAGCATAAATTTTGTGGTTGGAGAGAAACTTTCCAAAATGTAGTTGGTTATGCCAGAGGGGAATGGTATATGGTGGTGTTTTTGCAAACTACCCTTTGAATATGCACATGTTTGCCTATGTACTTACAAAGTCTTACAAGCTCAGTCTGGAAGCAAAAATATTTCAAACTAGATAGATGATAGTGCCATGCTGTTTTGTAATCAGAAGGTCCATGAGCTCACCTAGCTAAAGGCAAATACTTCCACCATTAGTGCTTGCAAATTCTACAGTGGGTCCCAAACGTGGCTTTTAATTGAAAAGCACAAGATTCTATTCAAATTAGAAATCATGGAACCTGACAAGGACATTACTTTTTTTTTTGCTTCAACTAGAATAAACTAGTCTATCTCCAAGAAATCATGAGATGGTCTTACATATTTCTTATTGGCTCCTTTTTCCTCACATTTTACTTTATAATGATGCAACTCATCATTTTCTGATGATCTATACCATATGTTAGCTATTTATGCTCAGGAAATGACAGCATAATGAAGTCCTTTTACTCTTTTTCAATCCATCACCTCACCCAATAAGTACAACCAACAGTGCAATCCTGTGCTTTCGTGTGTGTTGAGCCAGTGCTGATCTCAGAGCTGTGCTGGTGTGGTGTCTGAACACCAACACTCAAAAGCACAAACCTGCTGGCTGAGGACGAGACGGAGCCCTGTGGCACCGACTCTATGCAAATCACTCCAGGGAGTGGGCATCAGTGCTGGCCAGGTAGAAAGGATGGAAAAAAACAGGCTTTCACATTTTAAGGCATAAATTCGGCTCCCTCCGAAGTGGGTACAGAGCTTTTTCCCACTTGTGTTACCCACAATGTGAGCAGGTCTGCTCCAGTCCCTGTTTAGTGTGAGGTGTGCATGCTAATGTGGTGCTTCGCTTGCTTCCACAGACAGCCCTTTCGCTGCCTGATTACTGTGATCAAAGCCAGAGCAGGGTGGGTGACCACAGCCAATGCTGCTGTTTTCTGTTAAAATGAAACACTGGCCACGCACTTCCACTTGCTGGGACTGCCTTCTTGTTGCTGCAGTGTCTCTTTTGATCCCCACCAAGCACAGAGGGTTCTGATCTGTACCCAAGCAGGACTGGGACACATACCTGCCTTCAAGGCATCAGCTCTCCCTGCTCTGGTGACTTGACCACCAGGTAGAAGAAAACGGAGCGACTTCCAGGCAAGCTGGCTGAGGACCTGATGCTCGGTTTTAAGCAATGTATTTACCTGCATACCTAAGCACATGACAGCACTCACCCACAAGCCTCACGACACACTCCTGGCATCTTGTATTCTTTCGATTTCTCCCCAGTGCATATGTATCGACTGCTGTGTACTCATGACACCCTGGTTTTAGAAGCTATCCAGTGGTAGGAGGAATATACGTAATCCCGTCGTCTCTGCTGGTGGTCGTAGGAGTGCATCTATCAAACAAAATTATTTATGGCCATTGGGGTTTTCTAGTGATAAAACCTATAGCAGTAGAATGACAGAGTGAGCATTTTCCTTTTCTTCTTGCTTGGATAATATTTTTATACACTTTTATATGCAATTTTTTTAAATATTTGCTATTTTTATTGTAGGGTTCTGGTTGAGTTTTTACCAGACCTTCTGGTTGTCTGCAGGCCCAGATTCTCACAGGAATATTTCCCTTCCCTTTTCTCCTCCCCCTTCTTCCCCAATAGACAAGAGCCATTGTATTTGCAACATCAGCTTAGAGCGAAATAACACATAGGGCCTGATCAATCTTTAGTTGCACTGAAATCAAAGGAAGCTGCATGCAAAGTCCTGCTGGTCCCACTGCAGTGCCTGGGGCCAAAGACTGAATAACCGAAACATACACAGCTAACTACACCCAGGGCTGTCTGAGTAAAGCCAATGCATCAGGATGGCACTGTCTTCCTTTGCTGTGGTAGGAGCTGCTTCCACCACAACGTGTCTGACTATATATCTCTCTTCGTTCTGACGATGCTACTTCTTGTAGGCACTTCAAAGTCATACCCTAGCGCACTGACTACCTTCAGCAGGGAGGAAGGGTGGACATTGTGGCTTATCTGTGACAGTAGATTTCACTGCTCTTGTGGTACAGTGACAGGTCCTAAATAAAGTTAAGAAACATTAAACCTATTGGTAGGAAGGATCAGGGGAAATTAACCAAATTCAAGGATCTTGGTCTTGTAATATAACCTTTTCTCAGCTGGTATTCTGCAGGGAATTCTATGTATGAAGTTGAATATAAACTTTACAGTATGTTTATATTAGCAGAACTGATAACACCTGTTCTCTAACTTTTTCAAGGAAAAAAGAGGCAGGTTGTTACACTATTTTGCACCAGGTAACAGAAAACAAGTTAAAACACATGCTGAAAGCAAAACTCAGCGCAAGTTTGCTCCTGGGACAGGGTGGGTGGGGTAATGAAGAAACCCTATTTGGTTTGTTAAGACTCATAGGGGAAAAAAAAATTGCAAAACTGAAATGAATGATGCCATGTAATTCCAAGTATTCTCAACTGTTCTGAGAATGATTTTAAACAATATGTATTTATTGTTAGTTCCTTAATTGAAAAAAGAGGCTTGTGGTCTCTAAATGTATAAAACATTTTCAACATTCCAATTTTTCTGTAACTGAGTCTGTGTATGTTCATCCTATTACCAAATAAAAATAATGAGGTCTCTGCTCCATTTGAATTAAAGTTGTAGAAGGGTTCATTTTGTTCTGGTGCTTTCTACATCCGATCCAGGCATGGCACTTGCCTTTTGCTTCCCAGCACCCAGCTCCCCATAGAATACTAGTAATAGTCAACTTTTTTTTCTTAGTGGGAACATTGCTTTGACAGCAGTCATTACTCACCACTGGCCCAAGTGAGGAGGAGTTAGTGGTGTTACCTAATTTCTAATGACAGGGAAATTGAGGTAGAGAATTCAAATAGCTTATTTAAAGACCCCAGAGGTAAATCTCTGCCTGTTTGGGGATTAGATATGTCAACCTCACCTTTCCCCTTTTCTCTTGCCCATAAGAGCATCTAAACCAACAACAGCACACCGTGTTCATGCCCACTGAAACACTTGTTTGTGTGATTTTTCTTTTCTGTGCCACTTGGAGTGTGAGTATCGATCCCACAGGGCTGGTGTCCTGAGCTCCGTATTGCTCATATTGCTCCTTTCACAGCATTTCATCTACATCCCTACGTAGCACCTTCTGCAAGGTATCTTATTCCACAGGTAGATGTGGGCGGTGTCTGTGCGGTAGTAATCACACCACACAAGTAATGATCAGAATTTCCCTGTACCGCTGCTTTTTTTCTATTTGATCTTTCCCTTAAAAAAGAAAAAAATCATGCTAAAGAGTTGCAGAGACCCAGCCATTCTCCCTAAGGAGGATGTAAATTTCCGAGATTCTCAATACAAGTATGACAGGCTTTGTGCATCTCCTTTTGCCTGAAATTCCAGTTTTAATTCACTCCTTTCCTCCCCGGGAGGTTCACTGGTATTGATTTCCTGAAGAACATGCAATGTGCTTGCCAGTGTACATGCTTGTATTCTTGTACCTTACCAGCTTGGTTTGAGTCTGCATGTACCTCCTGTCCAGTGCCAGTAGAGATGAAGCCAAGCTGCCAATTTCTGTTAGGTATTGAGGGTGTTGATGTAGTTGACTGTGATCTTCAAATCAAAAATACTGACTGCCCCACAAGCAAGAATGGAGAAAAGGTGGTTTGGAAAAGGCATCTAACGATTTGGGTGACTCACCTCCACTGGCAAACACAGTATTGGAGTCCTTTCTCTGGCACGTATAGCCAGTGACATAAATGTCCGGAGCCGTTACCAACCGGTGTTTCCAGCCGCTTGCTGAGCCACCACGGAAGCAAGGTAAGTGCTGTGTAACTGCCTTCAGAGCCGTGCCGGGCAATGGAACTGGCAGTTGCCAGTTCTGTGAGGACACGGAGGTGGCTGAAGGGAAAGGTGTCTGAGATCTGGCAACAGTTCATAGGTTCAAAACTTAAGAACGTGAAACTTCCAGAATCAATAACTTGGGTATCTCCACCCAAACCCAGTAAATGATAAAAAGAAGAAAGTCATGTTTGCTATTGACTGCTTTAGACAGAAAGGTCCCCGGAAGTGAGGCTACTTTCCCAGTTAGTCACGCCTAAAACCACGGATAAGAAATCTCAGAAAGAAGACGGCAAACACCTTGTAGTGGTGGCTGCACTACAAAAAGCATTTTCATGGCTGGTGGAACTACCATTCATCCATCTCTGCTGAAACTACTCTTTCTTTTTAAAGGTCCAGTGCAACGTTCAGCTGAATTACCAGGCTCGGGTTCCTCAACAAACCACCTTACATTGCCAGGTCAGTCAGTATCACCTCACTCTAATTTGCTTATATGTGCAGCTTTAGGAATAGGCACTCGGTGCCTCCAGTTTGGGAGATGGACATCAACAGATGACTTCTTCTCCAGGTATGGCGTGCCTTTTACACACCACATTAAAAAAGTTAAACCTATTTACTGGGTTGAACAAATGAACAGTTGTTTGTAATGGTCTTTACCACATTTTTTTAAACCAATACCTTACGTTTTGTGACTTGCAGTGCAGGCTTCAGAGACTGTTTTAGTTCGATCAGCAAATTAATTTGAGGCTGTATCACATGGATGTAGATGCTGAAGGGAAAAAATAAGGCTGTTTTGTGGACCCAAGCGTAGCTTTTTTTATGCTCTTCCCATCTATCAAATCCTGCTATCTCTATTGCACCATGATAACCGTTTCCTTAATCCCTTTGTCTTTGTCCCACGCATCTGTCAGAAGAAAGGGAAGGTAATATGAAGCAGTTACACAAAATAATGGCTTAGTGTGAACAAGCTTCTATCTTGCACATGCATATGCAAGGGCATTCATATATGTATAATTCACCATAGGTGAAAGAAAGAGTAAGTCTGCTGGAAGACAACAAGAAATCGCAAGAAGAAACCCCAAACTTCAAGCAAAGTACTTAAAAAGTTTGAGTATAGATATTTTCATCGGTGGCTGCTGTGCCAGCAGATGAGGTATGGTGTGGTTCCATATATAGGTGCCAATGTGTGATAGCATGTTCTCCAAGCTGTTCATGGCACGATGCCCTTTCGCAGCTGCCACCTGAGCAGATTGTTTCCCCAGGCACAGCTGCAGCCACCACTTGTGTGCAAGTAAGGAAAAAAACACCATGAATGTGAGAGAGTTCCAACCACTGTATTCCCTTAGTAAAACAATGCACTCCATGGACTACTGTCCTGCTCAAGAACAAGAACGGACAATCACTGAAAGTCAAATTTAAGCCTCTGAGCAGCATGCTTACATGAGGACTCCCAGGTATCTAACCCAAGACAGGCTTTAGATAGAAAGCATGGAACAGGAAATATCATAAATACATCCTCTTAACTTCTGAAGTTTCTCATCATTGGCAGTGACAATAAGTATTACCTGTATATATTGTCTGTTTCTCATAGGGTCCCGGCAGTTGTTAAATTCTTATATTTATATTCATAGGGGAGGCTACTTGGGATATTTTGACCCAGGATTTTCTTGCAGGTGGCATTTAGAGGTCTTGCTCTTTAGGGAGATTTTTGAGAGGTCTTACTTTTTGGAGAAAAAAAAAGTTTGTTTTAAGGAAAAACTGTGGAATGAAACATTCACCTCGCGCTACAGCCATAACTGTCATCTAATGTAAACAGATCTAATTTCAAAACTAGCTCACTTTTTATACATTTTGGCATGTTTGCATCGGTTCCTTTCTTATTTTTAATAAGCAGTGCTTACAAAGGTGTTTTTTTTTCTCCAACGCTATACCGCTTTTAACCCATTGATCCGTTAATGAGTACCTGCAAATAACAAATCCCGCATTCCTTCTTATGTGTGATCCTTGTTCTGAGCCTGCAGAACACCATTATAATAAGGTAGAAATGCAGAAGAGAGGGTTTTGGCATAAACTACCAGGTACAGTCCTTTCATTATTGCTGACTTGCTGAATAACCTTGCTCAAATCCTTCTTGTGTGCCCCAGTTTCCTCATCTGTTCGGGAACGATAACATTTATTCCCCTTTAAAACTATCTGATTTAGGGAACGTGTGAACTGTTACGATTAGAAAACCAGCAGTAGGGAGGGTCCGCCTTTGAGAGAGGGGAGAGATCAACCTAATAGTGTCCCTTTTTGCAAAAGGACACTGGATGTGTGGCCAGTCCAGTTTTACTTCTAGTAGCAATACTCACTGTGACGATATCACATTGAATTACAGGAAGGTGGCTTCTGTCTAGCATTATGGAAATGACTAGCTGTGTTTTGACTCTTCGTTAGACACCTCCCACCTCAGTATGCTTTGGCAAGGATTGGTTTAGGACCCAGTGGATTTTCTCTATTTAGCTGTTTAACACTGGTGTCTTCCCACCCATGCCCTGTTACTGTGGGTTACACAGCAAACTGTTTAATGTGGTACAGTTTGCAAATCGGACTTTCCCATGCAGCTATTTAGAGCATGTGATGTGGAGTAGATTATAGTGCAATATTTTCCATGTGTACGGTCCAGTGATGCATTTTGTTTTCTGGTGGTGCTTCTTTATGCTCTATATAGAACATGTTTCGGAGGGGTTGCTTTTGCTGGGAGCAGACACTAATTGATGTGTAGTTAAGAAACAGTCTGCTGTAAACACACACACACACAATTTCCTAATTGTTATTGTCTTACTGGTTTATCTGCAAATTGCATGTGATGTCTTACATAAAAAGGGGAAGCTTTATTCCTTTGGGTTTAGTCTCAGTTCTGAAGAAATGAGACTGATGAGAACAGGTACATGTGTGTGTGATCCCATCTGTCACTGTGCCGACAGGTTGGTCAATCCTCATCACTAACTGTTGAATCTATGCCTTGTCAATCTAAAGTGTGTGAGAGGAAGACACACCCAGGAGTTGGGAAGTCTTACAAAGGCAGCTGTGTGCAGGAGAAAGCCCTGGCAGTGCTTATTCCTGGGCTTGACCATGGGTGAAACCAAAGTCCACCAGCAGCTCACCTGCATCTCTCAGTGCCAGAGGGAGCCCAGCTGCCATGAGCACTTCTGCTGCCTCGTGGAACGACTCCTTTGTCTCAGTGCAAAGATAAAGAACATGAAATGAGAGGGGATTATCAGCTCTAAAAGCATTTTCAAGGACACATAAGAAAAAGGACACAATTGGAAAAAAAATTGATTTTATCATATAAAATAAGATAAAATAAGATTTTTATGTTATTCTATTTAGTTTAGTTTGGCTTGGTTTCCTCCCTCTGTTTCAAAGCTGATGCTCACAAGCATTAACAGCATGGGCATGTGTAGCCAAGGAGCAGGCTGATGCGTTCTTCGGTTTAGCTTGAAAAAAGATGCCTGGCAGCTGGGCAAAGGCAAGTCCCAGAGCTGCAGACAGAAGCAGCAGCAGGAACACAGGCCAAACTGCCCCTGTTTCCTGGAGGGTGAGAACGTGAAGAACGAGGATCAGGACCAGCCACGCACCAAAGACGACGACGATGACAACAAGGTGTGTGGTACCGTGGGGAATTTTCCAACGTCTGTCACCTATC